CGCGACGCTGCACGGATGCGTCCTCCCCCTCTCCTCACCTCCACCTCCTCCCCCTCTCCTTCCCTCCTCCTCCTCCTCCTTCTCCCCTCCTCCCTTCCCTCCACCTTCCCCGACGTACACACCGACTCACCGGACACGTGGCGGGCGAGGAACCCGCGACGCTGCACGGATGCGTCCTCCCCCTCCCCTCCCTCCACCTTCCTCCTCCCCTCCTCCTCCTTCTCCCCTCCTCCCCTTCCTCCACCTTCCCCGACGTACACACCGACTCACCGGACACGTGGCGGGCAAGAAACCCGCGACGCTGCACGGACGCGTCAGAGTGGAAGGTGACTAGGAGGCGGTTGCCGCTGGATACGATCGGATGAGGGATCTTGCTGCCGCAGAACCGTCCAAGCGTCTGCGCCGCTGTCGCGTTACCATCGTAGAGCGTGATGTGGTCGTACGCACAGTCCTGATGCGGCTCCATCTCAAAGAAACCAAACGCCTGCAGGAGAGGGAGAGAAAGAAGGGTGTTAACGGGGAGAGACGGTGTGAAAGAAGGCGTCAGAGGCACGTACGCACGCACACAAATGTAAGGACACACGCACATACGTAGAGCGTGATGTGGTCGTACGCGCATACTCCTGATGCGGCTCCATCTCAAAGAAACCAAACGCCTGCAGTATAGAAGGAGAGAGGGAGGGAGGGTGAGTGAAAGGAGAGAGGGCTCAGAGGGGTCCGAGGCACGCACGCACTCATACAAACGTAAGGACGCATGCAGATATGCGGGGACATACAGATGCACTCACTCGCACACACGTACGCACGCATACACACGCGCACACGCGCACACACGCACGCACGCACACACACACGCACAAACTCAACAATAGTTACGCACCAGTTTCACTCGGTGTCCAGGCGTAGTCACCAGATACCACTCACAGTCCTTGCGACTCTGGTAGTAGTTGGGCCAGTTGGGTGAGCTTATCTCACCTGTGGGAGCTGTGATGCGATGATGGCAGCCACCTGCCATAGTACACGCACGGGAGGTTAATATACGCACGACGGTGAAGGTGCAACCGAGTTATCTGTTTCTTTCTCTCTCTCTCTCATCTGACTCTGCTCTATCCTGCTCTCTCTTCTCTCTCTCTCTGCACCCTCGATCCTCATCCCGCCTGTTCTCTCTCCTTTCCCTCTCTCCCTCCATCATCTTCTCTACTCTCTATCACACTCTCTCTTCACCGCTTCGCTCTCTGCCCTCCACTGCTGCCCCTCGTGCTCTCTCTCTCTCTCTTCTTCTGTGTCTCTCTGTGTCTCTCTGTCGTCTCTCTGTGTCTCTCTGTGTCTCTCTGTGTCTCTCTGTGTCTCTCTGTGTCTCTCTGTGTCTCTCTGTGTCTCTCTGTGTCTCTCTCTGTCTCTCTCTCTCTCTCTCTCTCTCTCTCTCCCTCCCTCTCCTCCTCCTCTCTCACTCACACCCACCTTCCTTGCAGCCGTGAGCGTCTGCGTGTAGTGTGTAGCCGTTGTGACACTCGCAGGCATACGATCCGATCGTGTTCTTACACACGTGTTGGCAACCGCCGTTGTCAATGGCGCACTCGTCCATATCTGTGAAAGCAATGCCCTCTATAAACAATCGAACAGTACATCACTCCCAAGAAATTCTCTTTTGTTTTCGATATGAGACAAACACACACAAACACCCTCCATTCCAACCCACGACAACACACACACAAATACCCCTCCTGCTGCCTGCACTCCCCTCCCCACCACCCTCGCCCTCCAGACACGACTCACCGATAAAGACCACCCCCAGACACGACTCACCGATAAAGACCACCACCAGACGTGACTCACCGATAAAGAACACGGCGGCGAATCCGCTTTTCTGCACGGACTTGTCTGAGTTGAACTCTACGCGCAGGCGGTTGCTGACGGACGTGACGACTTCGGGAAGAACCTGGTACGTGCGGGGAGCCCGCGTCCGCAGTAGACGCCATGCAGCGAGACGCTGCCGTCCTTAGATCGACTGGTTGAGTCTGGCGAGAGCTCGCTGATCACCTCCACCCAGTCGTACTCACAGTCTTGCTGCAGGAGGTAGATATATATATACATATATATATACATATATACATAGGGAGGAGGTAGATATATATACATATATATATACATATATATATATATACATATATACATATATATATAGTAGGGAGGAGGAA